CAGACCACAGAAGCGCAATATGACTATGCTGTGCGTGTGCTTTTTCGTCATGTGGTTCACTTCAGTGTGCTTGCTTTCAGTCCCAACAGCAGAAAGACAAGATGTGCAGAAATCTTCCCTGGCTGCTATGTGTTGGGTCTGTGGTAATATAGAACAAGGTGTAAGGGCAGGGGAATTGCATGACATCTTTCAATTACAGAATCTTTTGAGAGAGGAAGTGTGGAGGTTAATAGTAGCTAGACCATATCACAGGTGCAGAAATATAGTTTCAGGTGTGCCATAAGCAACTTTAAGGGGGAAGAGTACATCTTTCTATTTCTCAGGTTATAGAGACTCATTTGCAGTTTGGTGTGTGGGGTTTTTTTTTGTTTGTTTGGGTTTTTTTTTGTCCTGTCCTTGTTCTGCGTCTGATGAAGGATTTGCCATATAGTGGTGGATTGTGAAAAATACTGTCACTGTTACTGTAGCATATCCCTGAAAAGAATATGTGTGTTTTGATGTGAAGAGTTGTGAAATCCAGGGTATAAGGGTATGTTTTGGGAGGAGATCCGTAAAGGCAGTTAATAGTGTCATATATAGTTAGGGAGGGTTTCTGAGAAACGCTTATTGGCAGAATTGACAGACCTGGCAGAACTGTTTAAAAGTGCTTCATCAGGAAGCAGTTCACATCCACCACCTGGTATTTGTATCCCCAGCAATATTATGGGCTGCGTTAGCAATGAGTATTTTTCTGAACTTTTAGGTGCTTGTAAATTAGCTTTTTAAAAACTGAGTTCTAGGCCAAACTGCTTTCCGATCTCTGTGAGGACTACACCCAAATTTAAGTTTTTATAATTGATTAAATACTTTAATACTCCTAACATTTTTAAAGTTAATTGATTGTTCCTGATGACTGTGGGATGTCTGATGAATACATACCTAACCATGACATTTAGCTTATAATTGTAGCCCATACATTTAACAGTTAATACGATCAAATAACATAAATATAGATTTGGAATTCCTGATAAATAGGATCTTTTTCTAAGCCAGATACATAAACTAGGCTGACATAATTTGCGTGCACACTTAAAGGAACAATTCAAACATAAGTATGCAAAACCAAATTACATTGGGAATTAACTGTTTGCATGCTCAATGATAGTTGGACGTGCAAACTATGCTTTTATGTTTCTAATTTTCTGAAAGTCATTCCTGTTGCTAGTCAGGGGCTGTGCACTACTGCAGTATCTTACATCTTTGAATTTGCTTTGCCAAACAATACAGGGAGTTAGATGGTATCTGCCAACAGATTGTGCTAAGAACTTTTTAAAAATTATGTAGGAAAATGCAGAAGTAAATCTACCCATATCTTTGATAAAAATAAATTACTGAGTGAGCTTGTGGAGTTTTTACTTACGTTGTAAACAAGATTGCTGCTTAGGCTATTGTAGATTAACACCTGGTTTTCTGCTGCTTGTTTTCTTTCCAGCCCTTGCAGAGCTGGTTTTACAAACTTCTTACATTTTTGCAAAACAGACTCTGCAATTAGGAGGTTAGTCAAAAAGAAAAATCAGTTTTCCTCAAGTTTTGACAATAAAGTGTTTTTATTGAATGAGTCCTGAAAAATAGTGGCTAATACTTTGTAATGTGAATGCTCTGTCTTGTTTTTTTAAATTGAAAATTTACAAGCTAGGCAGTTTCAAGATTACAGGATTTGTTTAAAAAGTACTTCCTGCTGTCATCGTAACTGGTGAAATGCATTTGCATCTTGGAATATGTAAGTGATGGCAGCAGTAATGAGATTTTAATTAATAATAATGGGCTATGAATAGAATGAGCTTTCCTAGTGTTGTACTTTGACATTTTGAATTAGGTTCATTTGGTTTCTAAGGCCTCATACTGACATAGATGTTGATGATTAAACTTTGCTGACCTCACGTTTCCACTTCTGTAGTGTTAAGACAAATGTAGCATTAATATACTCCTGGCTGATCATTCGAAGGTCTTTTGACAAGGCCTGACAGTGTCTCTAAACTTTTTAAAAGGAGGATCAGTTTCTTTAACCCAGCTATTGTCTCTTTAGCTGGCAACTTTGGACAAGTTACAGGCTTGCATTTTATCTAAATTTTGTGCTGTTTTATCAGACATGTTTCAAGACCTAGGCAAACTACTTGGTCACCGTGTGATTCAAGCTTTATGGGCAGGCTTTGGGGTTTATTGGATCAAGCTCATAGCTTGAGCTTGTTTGACTAAAGCTTTCCCATGACTAGCTAGAAAGCTTCTTTCTTTCAGTGTTACACAAAGTACTAATGCATGCTAATTTGAGTGGAGTATGTCTTCTCGTTTATTCACATTACTATCTGCTTTTCCAGATAGTCAGGGGCAATGTTGTCAACATGTGGTACTGTCTTGCAAGGGGGATAGAAAATGGCAGATTAGAATGTAGATATTAAGGATTTAAAATAACTGTAAAAAATACCCGTATATATGTTACTTGTCTTTCTATGTTATAATGTGTGCCTAAATGGATATACTGCCCTTGTTTCTTTGTATTTACTAATGTCTTGCACGTTTTTATTGTGCAGTAGTGAATAAAAAAAGTGGAAGTTGTATTTTTCAGCTTGTACAGCTCTGTAATATTACTAAATAGGTAGTTATGTATACACCTAAGTGGAATAATTAAGACAGTGATAGTGTGATTGCAGTGTGGGTTTTACTTTAGAATGGCATTTTAGTAGTTACGTTCTTGTCTGCAAAAGAACATTTGAAGGGCTCCTAACTCTTATACTGTATTTATATGTATACTTTATTTTATGCTGTCTTGTTTTCATGATTTGGTAGGGTATAACTGAATTTTTGCATGTGAGAGAAAGAGCAAAAGTAGGAATTGGTGGGAGAAAGTTTGTAGGGCTCTTGAATTCTACAAAGTCCTTCAGAGAATTATGTACTGTGTTAGAAGTTAATAGAATTTAATTGGAAGGCCAACATTTTCTGATTGATTTGTAGCACAGCCTTGTTTTTTGTGGTAAATTTAAACCCTGTAACTCAGCACTGGTGCTTACTGTTCTAGATTGACATTTGTAATGAACATTACTGCAATAATAAAATTGTAAAATCAATTTAAGAAGTCTCAACTGATAGGTCATAGCTGTAAAGGTGTTAAATTACTAAGAAATCATAAAATGAACAGCATCATCTAATATGTAGTATATGGACTTCTGGCATAGCAAGTACTGCATAGTCTTTATGATCTTTCTGCCTCCTAAACCGTGGAGGTTATATGGTAGAATCTGCTCAAGGAGTGCCTTACAAACATTGTGCTTATCAAAGAGCTGTTTTACCCGGTAAGTTAATGAGATGATGTCTTTTGCTGAGGAAGAAGTGTAACACAGAAGCATTGATCAGACAGTTTGTTTCCACCAAAAGTAACAGAGCTGGTTGGCCTGTGTCATCATTTAATAGGGAACTAGACCCTAAGATGCATGGAAGCAGGCAGAAAAAAGACCCTATGAAAGAAAGGATTTGTATTTTTCACACTCCAGTGAAGCTGGGCAAAAATTCTGCCTTTCCAATGCTATACACATGTCTTCATGATTCATTGAAAGTTACTAATTCTGCTTGTGATACAGGTTCAGGTCCATCACAGTACAATTCAGTTATATGCTTGAGCCTTGTCTTGGTTCGAGAGGCAGAAAAGTAATCTAGTTAGTATCTTTACTTTGTGATGTTCTGCAAACAGCATTGTAGGAATCTAGCAGGCAGGCAAACATGTTGACATGCGCGATTGTGCAAGTTAGCATGTATTAATCACCCTTTAGTGGTTTGATTAAAAATCCTTAAATCAAATTTCTTTGTTGTGGCTAAGTGCTAATGTATATTCAGTTTGTTTGGTACATTACTGTTTTTAAGGCAGCTCAAGTATTAAAACAGATGTTTGGTGACATGTCTGGGTTGAAAGAAATTTTTATCATACTAATTTCTGCAAGAATTAGTTTGTTTTGCCCGTTGCTTCAAATCGGACACTGGCCAAAATAATCCTGCAATTTTTCTCATAGCTGAAGCACTTAAATATGGCATTTTTTTGTCTCCTTACCCCTTTTCGTAAGGAATGTAGGAAATCAGTTATCTTTCAGATTTGTACCCCTTTAACTTAGACAAATTTGTTGCAAAACTTATGGAAGACAGAGCCTCAGGTTTGTAGGAGTATGTACAGGCATTGTGCTTGCGTGTGTTTTGTGCCCATAGAGAAAGCTAGGGTAAAAAGGTTGATAGTAGATTTACGTTTGAAACTGGCCTTCTATATAAATGGTTTCTTTTAATGCATTTATATAGAAACTGATTAATTGGTAAACTGATTTATATAAATGCTTTTGGAAATGGGCTTCATCTGTGATGTAGTGGAAGGTGAGGTAGGTGATGTCTGGCACTGTGCACATGCATGAGTTGGCATAATTAATACTAATTTGTACCTGCAGCTTTGGCTTTGTGTGTTCAGCTGTGCAGCTGCAGCGTGTAACTTACAGCAGTAGGTAGGAATAGCTCAGAATCAGAACTGTGGAGGTTGGAAGGGACCTCTGAAGATTGTCCGTTCCAATCTACCTCAACAAAGCAAGCTCAGCTGCAGTGAATTGCTCAGGCAGTGTTGAACTGCCTTTTGAATATTGTCAAGGATGGACACTTCACAACCTCTCTGGGCAACCCATTCCAGTATTGGATCACCCTCGTGCTAAGTTTTTTATTATGTTTAAGCAGATTTTAATGTATTTTGGTTTGTGCCCGTTGCTACTTACACTGTCACTGGGCATCACTGGGAAGAGTCTGGCTCCATTGTTTTTATATCCACACAAGGATAAGATCACAGGATCACAGACTTGCTGAGGTTGGAAGGGGCCTCTCGAGAACATGTAGTCCAAACCCACTGCTCAAGGAGGGTCAGCTAGAGCAGGTTGATCAGCACTGTGTCTGGTGGGGCTTTGAATATCTCCCAGGATGGAGACTCTGCAACCTCTTTGAGCTACCTGTTCCAGTGTTTGATCATGCTCACGGTGAGAAAGAGTTTCCTGATGTTCAGATGGAATTTCCTCTGTTTCAGATGTGCCCATTGCCACTTGTCTTGTGACTGGGCACCACTAAAAAAAGCCTGTCTTCTTCTTCACTCCACCCTGTTAGGTGTTTATACATATAGATAAGAGCCTTCTCTTCTTTAGGCTGAACTGTCTCAGCTCTCTCTGCCTTCCTTCATGAGAGAGATGCTTCAGTCCCTTTGTCATCTTAGTGGCCTTCTGCTGGGCTCTCTTCCAGCATCTCTATACAGATATAGAGATCTTGTTTACTGAGGAGCCCAGAACTGGGCACAGCACTCCAGATGTGGCTTTAATGGTGCTGAGTTAAAAGGGAGGATTACCTCCTTGACCTACTGGCAGCATTCCTCCTAATGTAGCCCAGGTTGCTGTTAGCGAACTTTCCTGCATGGGCACATTGCTGGCTTGTGTTCACCTTGGTGTTACCCAAATACCCCAAAGGCTTTTTCTGCAAAGCTGCTTTCCAGCCTGCCAGCCCCCATGTACCCCATATGCCCGGGGCTGTTCCTCACCAGGTGCAGCACTTTGCACTTCCCCTTATTGAGCTTCACGAGGTTCCTGTCAGCCCATTTCACCAGCCTGTCAAGGTCTCTCTGTATGTCAGCCCAACCCTCTGGTGTATCAGCTGTTCCTCCAAGTTTGTATTTTCTACAAATACTGCATTGAATTAAGCAGAAATAGTTGCTCTGATTTGGCTTAGATAAAATTACATGTCTGAGACATGCTGAAGTAGTGAGATGACAATTCAGGTATTGGTTAATTATTATATTCATAATTCCAAGTATTGTGTGTTGCAGCATGCTCCTCTCTGTTAAAGTTAGTGCTTTAGGAATACTTGACTTGGGAACGCTGGACTTGGTACTAGGCAGGTCAGTGGATAAAACACTTCTGAAAAGTTCCTCTCTATCCACTAAAGAAAAGAATATCAATGGTGTAAAAGACAAATTCACAAGTGGGTGCTGAAGGAAGTAATTCCCCCCAAAGCAAAGCCCCCCCGAGCTGCACTTACAATGTTAGACAATACTGGAAGAGTTGAGGGAAGAATGTTAATCTGTATGCTATGATGAAATAAATGCTGCCTGCTGGGTATCTTTTATACAGTAAATGGACTGAAAGATGTGAAGTGATGAATAATAAAGGACTATTAAATATTTTCCCAATGAAGAAATAGCAGAGAGGTGGTTTTTTAGGGGTGTATGTGTATTTCACTGATGTATATGCTTATTTAATATATTTAATACATCTAAAGGCAAAGGCATGAAAGCTGATTTTCATACAGAGAAATCAAATAATCCTGTTTGATTATATCTCTGGTGTCACTTTACTGTCAGTGAAACATTATAAATAGTAAATACTGTCTATTACACTTGGCAGTGAAGGAAATCATAGTGTCACCTTCGGTCGTAAATCCAAGTTTCATTTTCCTGGGACTGGTCGTTGTAGCAAGATTATACATGGAACTGTAATGGATGGCAATAAATGAAGGTTTGTCAAGGGTTGAGGCTGAGCCGGCCACTAACAAATGGCAGATGCTCTCTATTAACCCCTCTCCCCTCCCAGAAGGGAAAGGGAGAGAGAACAGGGGAGAGAGACATACGTGTTGGAAAAGAAAACTAAAACAGCTTTAATGAAACAATAACAATAAAAGAAACAGATAATAAAATAATGAAATATATACAAAATCAATACTGAACCCATCTCCCCCCACCCTGATGACCATACATCACCAGTGACACTGCAGGGCTGTTTGGCGCTGGGGTAGTCCCAGGCTGGACTCCGCAGCAGACAGGGACTGGATGCAGGAGCTGGAGTCAGGCACTGGATTCAGGGATGCACGGATTGGGATCACAAGCAGCAGAACGGACAGAGTTCTCCTTGGATGTTGGCCACTGAAGAAGAGGGCTTGACCCTCGTGATCCCTCAGCTTTATACTGCATATGACGTATATGGGATGGAACACTCTGTTGGTCAGTTTTGGGTCACCTGTCCAGTTTGCTCCTCCCTGCAGGTGCAAACTTTTTACGTGCTTGTGACCCTTTTCACTTCTGGCGCCCCAACACAGAGTACAAGATTTAGCAGTGACCTGGGTTGCTATAGGAGTGAGTATAAGGAAGAACCTTTCTGCGTACCTTTCCCTGGTACTAACTATAAACATCAAAAGTTACTGCTACTAGAAATAGTCACTGTCTGGAAGAACATTCTGTTGATTTCAGAAAGTGCAGTTCCTTAGAAGAGACTTAGCTGAAAGGAAAATAACTGAACAGAATTAGTTCTGGTTTAGCTCAAAGCAGGACAAGGTTGTATTGTATACAAGCCAGCTGTTTACTGCTGAGGGAAGTTATCCCACTGGTACATGTTGAGGTGTGTTTGCCTATATGGACTGGATAATTTACGTGTGAAAATACCCCCAAATTAATGTGGTGCTGATTTTCAGAATGGGAGAGTTGCAGCAGTTTAGTTAATTTCATTTCAAACAGGGATGGAAAGTAGTGTAGGGAGGGGAATGGGATACTGTTGAAGGTGGGAGTGTGGAAAAAGAAATCTAATTAAGTGCTAAGATTGGAGATTGGTGTCCTGGGTGAAGTGGGGAGGCAAAATGAGAGGAAAAATAGGGACACAAAAAGCAGGCTATATGTTGGAATACCAGTAGGAGAGTGAAACGTGGAAAGACATAAAGGCATCTTCCATGTACAGCTTTCTTATGCAGTGATTCATACCAAGCTAGAAGGGACATGAAGCTAATGAAGTTAGTGGCTGATATACAAGCAAAACTTACAGTGAGAGTGTGTGGCAGAAAAACCATGGTTGCATGCATTTTGCAGATGGAGAAAATGAGAAATGCTCAGGAAAGTAAAACCACTAGAAAGCTAGTCACAATTGAGTTATCTGTATTCTGGGATGAGCTTTTTTGTAACGTTAAGGAAGAATTTTGTGAACAATAGATGGCATGTGATGATGTGTAGCTGGAAATTGCAACACCTACTGAAGCTAAAATGTATCTGTAGGTTGCCTAAAGATCAGTCCTTTCATGAGTGCTGTATCTTGGTATGAAACAGAAATATGACTTTATTTTTAGCCACCCTCAATGTAGAAATGGAAATAAGAGGAGACACTGATTGTCTTTATGTGTATCATTTGCATGCTTTTTTCTGTTGAAGAGGTTTTGGAGAACGAGGGGTGATACAGTCCTGCTGTTAAACTGGTGATGTGGGAGTTAGGAAATCTGGGTGGTCTTTCTCTGTGTTTGGGAAGTGAGTAATCAGTTTTCTCTGTATACTGAGTGGGAACAGTGATATTTTATTACATGTGTAGCTTCATTACTCTAGAAGACAGAGATACAACAATCTGCAGATGGATTGACACAGGAAGTTGCTAGTATGATGTTAAAGGTTAGCTTGAGAAAACATGCCATAAAAATAGGTATGGACTGGACTGTGTAAATGTCACTCATGATAGTGTTCATGCTGGGTGAGGACTGAGTATTCTTAAAGGAGTAAAGAGAAAAAGTAAACATTTGTTTTGTGCCTTTTGTACTAGCATGGGCAGAGGATTTCAGAAGCTTTTTTCCTGTTTGAAACATGTGAGTTGAATATCAGAATCTGTTTTACAGATTATTTTCTTCAGTGTACGTTATTTTCTTTTATATTTTTTTAAAGGTGGATTGAAAGTGAACCATAATGGCTGCTGTCGTCTCAGATATTCCTCCAAACCCAAGCTGCAAAATCATGACTTTTAGGCCTTCGATGGATGAATTCAGGGAGTTCAACAAATACGTAGCATACATGGAATCACAAGGTGCTCATAGGGCTGGAGTTGCAAAGGTAAACATCTATAATGTAGAAGGGAGATTGTTCCTAATACCTCTTTTCCCAGTGTTTGTGTTTTGCTGATTGCAAATCTGACCTTTTCAGTATTTAACATTTTTTCCAAATGATTTTCAATTAATAGATACTGATCTGTTACTGTTTTAAGAAGCAGCTTTCTGGTATCTCTAATGTTTCATGCAGACTAATGAAAATGATGTATACTGTTTTCTCTCTAACCGTCAATTGTTTCCATGTTTACAATAGCAAAAGATTTAAGGTGGATTTAAACTAGTTTTTGGCAAATCGGAACAAACCAGGAAATTCATAGTGTAAATTGAAAAGTCCTGATCTAGTAGATGTTGAACTCGATCTTTTGGGGTTGTGCATAACTTCAGTGGAGCAAATAATCTCACTACAGTCAATGGGTGTATGAGAGGCACTATTTGAATAGTTTGCTTTTTAATTGTGATTGTGTTATCTTTTTGTAAATGACAATTGGAGGTACACTAACAACTACTATATTGCCCTTTGAACAATGCTATATCCAGGATTTTACAGCAGGTGTTCCTCCACTAATGAAGAGTGCTTGTCAGAGATTAAGTCTGATGTAATTTACTGTTACGTCATGTGAGTATTCATCCTGTATCTGTTTTGCCACTTTGCAGACCAGCAGGACACAGTGCAGGTCTAGAAATCTTACCTTAGATATTTTAAGTAGTCAGTGGGAGTATCTGGCTTCATCATTGGGGTTTTAAGCTAATGTTGCAAAGTCAAGACATTTAAAAATTGAGAGAACAGAAACAAACCCTGCAATTCTTGGTTTCACCCTGCCCGTTCCCTCCTCTCTGCTTCCTGTAAAACAAACGAAAACAAAGCCTTGCACTTTGAAAACCATGTAGTTTACTTGCTTTGTGATTTCTGAGGGTAGAGTACATGTAGGTCATACTTTCAAACTCTTCTCTGCAAGGAGGAATAGAAATGTGATAGACAATAGAGGAAAGCCTGAGCTGATTTTTTTCACGTATTCAACTGTATTATGGAACCTGTTTGTGTGGGGATGAATTGTTGCAGTACTATCCGCTTGAACAGTAGACTTAACAGCAAATGACTTCTGTTGCTCCACAGATTTACACCATGAACATGTATGTGAGCAGGAGATCCTAGCTATGTATCATTATATGGTTTATGTTCATGGACTCCACATTAAAAAAACCAACAACTTATTTTCATGTCGTTTATATAAATATTTATTTCAACTGTTGGTAATCTGTTTCATGGGAATCTAGCCAAAGAAATAGAAAGTGCCTTGTGACCAGCCACTGAGATAATACTGATTTTCTTCTATTTAAATTTGTTTATTCTTATATGATGTGCATGCTTGCTTTGATATGTTGTTTATAAAACAAAGACATGTATGCATAAATTGTAATCCTTGCCTTCTCTGGCTATATGAGAAAGCTATTATGTGAGCCTGGATTAGTGTGTAATATGTTTGGGGAAAAAAAAAAACGAACAAAAAGTGAACTAGTTTTGTTTAAGAACTGTGCATTCGTTATATGCTTTTTGTCATTCATGGCTATGTCTGTCCTAGACCACAACTAATCTTTTCATTCGGTAGTATTCAAAACCAGAAGCTTCTTAATATTTAAATTTCCTTTAAAAACTATGTATCTATTTACCTCTTTGACAATTCTCAGGAGGTGTATAGTCAAATCCTTAAAAAGCCTATGCAAACCTCTGTTCTTATTTCTGAGACACTGATAATAACTAAGAGCTTCAGTTACTTGCTGTTAGTTTTTTGGGTGCTGCTTCTTTTCTGCCAGGAATTGAAGCAGCTGGGCAGACTGGTCAGTGGCTTCCTGATATATGGTGCTAAGTGCTCCTCTGAGGCTGCTGGTGTACTAACAATTAACTGTGGACTGAAATATGTTATGGTTTGAGCCCAGTGTACTAGTCATTTCTGTGTCTTGGCATTCTTGGGTGCAAAATTTCAGCCAGTAGAAAGTGTAAAAGGGTAATGAATTTGTCTTATTGTAAATATTCTTAAGATTTTTTGAGATATGAATATGGCTTCAATCATTCTTCTGTTTTGTTTCCTTATCTTGATTCTGGTTCTGGTTTCTTTCCTGCCATACAGCAATTAAACCTCCATGTGCAGTCAGTGTAGAGAAAAAGGCAGAGTCATTGAGGATGTCCCGAGGAGAGGAACGGACATAGTAACATTAGGAAAGAATGTGAAACAGTTTTGCCTTTGTTGTATAATTTAAAATTTCTGCAATATTGCTGTTGTCTTCATATCCTTACTGAAAAGAGATGCTTTTTGAAGAGTCTGGATAGACCTAATTTTCTGCAGTAACCATGAGAATAGTTGTTGTATATATGAAATGTGTATGATCTGAATATTCACTTGTTACTGAAAGGCAAAGGTAACATAATATCAGTAAAATATACTAATGCTGTCATTTTAAAAAGAGTGGCACTTAATTTTAGTATGTAAACTTCGTTACCTGTTGAAAGATTTTTGTCTCGGGTTGAGGCTGGGCCGGCCCCTAGCAAATGATGGATGCTCTCTGTTAACCCCTCTCCCCTCTCAAAAGGGAAAAGGAGAGAGAGCAAGGGAGAGAGACTTTGGAAAAGAAAACTAGAACAGCTTTAATGAAACAGTAATAATAAAAGAAAAGATAAGAATAAGGAAATAATGAAATACATACAATATGTACAAATAGATACAAACAGATACGAAACCAATACTGAACCCAACTCCCCCCACCCTGGTGACGATACGTCCCCACCACGCTGCAGGGCTGGCACTGGGGCAGTCCCAGGCTGGACTCGGCAGCAGACAGGGACAGGATGCAGGAGCTGGACTCAGGCACTGGATTCAGGGATGCACGGATTGGGATCGACGACAGAAGAACAGACAGCATCCTCCTCAGATATCGGCCATGGAAGAAGAGAGAGAGACCCTCGTGATCTCTCAGCTTTATACTGAATATGACATATGTGGGATGGAATACTCTGTGGGACAGGTTTGGGTCACCTGTCCGGTTCACTCCTCCCTGCAGGTGTGACCTTTTTCGTGCTTGTGACCGTTTTCACTCTCAGTACCCCAACACGCAGTACAAGATTCAGCAGTGACCTTGGTCGCTATAAGAACAACTATAAGCAAGGGACTCACTGCACACCATTCCTTGGTACGAACTATAAACATCAGGCCTTATCACTGCTAGGAGCAGTCACTGTCTGGAAAAACATGCTGCTGTTTCAGAAAGTGCTGTTAGTTAGAGGAGACTTAACTGAAAAGTTAAAGCACTAAACCAGAATTAGTTCTGGTTTAGCCCAAACCAGGGCAGATTTGTTTTGAAGGTGAAACACCTTAAAGGAGCATTGTAGTGGGCCAAAGTAGTGGGTATGTTTTTAGGAATATGTGAAACTGACTTTTTAAAAATACTGGTTTGTATTGGGTTTGCGTGGCAAGGTTTTGGTAGCGGGGGGGCTACAGGGGTGGGTTCTGTCCCAAAAAAGGGACCCTCTCTGTTAAAGTCCAGACGGCTCTAAGATGGACCCGCTGCTGGCCAAGGCTGAGCCCATCAGCGACAGTGGTAGCACCTCTGTTGTGCTGAACAAGTTGCTGCACAGGAGCAATTGCAGCCTGAGAGAGAATACATGAAAGAAACAATTTGACACGAAGATCAGTGGAGAAAGAGGAGGAGGAGGTGCTCCAGGCGCTGGAGCAGTGAATCCCCTGCAACCTGTGGTGAAGACCATGGTGAGGCAGGCTGTCCACCTGCAGCCCACGGAGATCCATGGTGGAGTGAATGTCTGCCTGCAGTCTGTGGAGGACCCCGCATCAGAGCAGATGGATGCTTGAAGGAGGCTCTGACTCTGTGGGAAGCCTGTGCTGGAACAGGCTCCTGGCAGGACTTGTGGATCCATGGAAACAGAGGAGCCCATGCTGGAGCAGGTTTGCTGGCAGGGCTTGTGACCCTGTCGCGTGTCATGCTGGAGCAGTCGGTTTCTGAAGGACTGCACCGCAGGGAAGCGACTGACACTGGAGCAGTTCATGAAGAACTGCAGCCCATGGGAAGGACTCACGCTGGAGAAGTCATGGAGGACTGTCTGCTGTGGGGGGGACCTCACATTGGAGCAGGGGAAGAGTGTGAGGAGTCTCCCCTGAGGAGGAAGGAGTGGCAGAAACAATGTGTGATGAACTGACCTCAACCCCAGTTCTGGTCCCCCTGTGCTGCTTGGTGGGGAGGAGGTAGAGAAAATTTGAAGCGAAGTTAAGCCTGGGAAGAAGGGAGGGGTGGGGGGAAGGTGTTTTTAAGATTTGTTTTTATTTCTCATTACCCTTCTCTCATTTGGTTGGTAAGAAATTAAATTAATTTCCCCAAGTCAGGTCTGTTTTGCCCGTAACGGTAATTGAACGGTGATCTCCATGTCCTTTTCTCAACCCATGAACCTTTTATTGTACTTGCTCTCCCCTGTCCAGCTGAGGAGGGGGAATGACAGAGTGGCTTTGTTGGGCAGCTGGTGTCCAGCCAGGGTCAGACCACTACAACAGTCATATCTACCAGGCCTTTCAGCTTTTTAGAGTGTGTAATGCAGATGTTGGCTGTGGAATGGATGCAGGCATGTACTGCATTTAATTTACTTTAATCTAGTGAAAAATCAATCTGTAAAATGGTGATCATGACAACAGGGGAACAGAGGTTAGGTTGTGGTCTTTTTTTATTCACCATGGTGTAATGATCTAGGTTAGAATCCCATAACTGGGTTGAAAATGAGTGGGGAGTCCGTTCTAGTAATTTAAGTGACAATCAATATGCTTCAGAGATACGACAGCTTTCAGGGTTAGTATGAGAATTGGGTAGTAAATCTTAAATGCATATCCCTAGTTAACACTGCTTCGCCTGTATTTTTAAATTTTCAAGCAACATTTTACTACTTTTAAAAATGTAATTAAATACAAATGGAACTACTTTCTTTCCTGATGAGATCATGAGCTGCTTCCT